CCCAGAAAGGGTTGTCGAGCTACTGATGATGATAAAAGGAGATTACAAATATTATGACACATGGTACTCCTTATTTTTCAAATAATATGTTCTTGTACAGGCATAACTTTGATTATTGGGTAAACCTACAAGAAATTAAAAAAAAAATAATATGTAATAAATTCATTGTTTAAATAAATATTCTGCACTCGTACTACCGCAATAAAATATTAAGGGCCGGTTCTACATTCCAGTATAAATTGGAGAATAGTTATTCTGAGTATAACTTATACTTGAGTTTATTCCAAGTATAACCTTTCGAGCGTTCTACATTGTGAAATCGACAGCGGAATAGTTATTCTGGGCACAGAATAATAAACAATCAGAAGGGACACTCTCAGATGCCGCCTTTGAAGTTTTTCAGCACGCGCGCCATGTTTGAGGAGGACACAGACATATGATTTGTGTGGTTATGTAATTGTTTATATTTATGTTTAATTATATTATATTTATGTTATTATATTTAACAATGTTAATATAATTGTATAGTATGTCTATGATTGCCGTAAGTCAAATAAACCTGGTTAATTTTTCCATGCACACCACATAATTTCTTTAAAATCCTCCTAAAACATGGCGGAACGTCTGCGCGGAGGAGATGCGCGTACTTAGTTTTCCGTGGAGAGTGGGTATTCTGTATGTTTATTATTCTGTGTTCTGGGTATAACCACAGAACACTAAGTTAAAACGAAATAGTAGATTTGATGTCTTCAAAATTAGTTCAAATTGTTATTGACAGCGACATTTGGCATTTGTCATAACTGTAAAATTTGTTTACAATTGAAAGGAATTGAATAATTGATTCGCTTTATCTGGTATTTTATCTAAGTTTATATTATTATACTTTTCAAAATTAATATAAAATGGATAAAAAAATATGTAAAATTTTCTTCTTAAATTTTTTGTTATCATCAACTGAGATTAGTGTTATAATATAATAACCAAAATTATGTAAATATATCTATATAGGTATACTCCACATTTTAAAAAAGTATAAATATTGGATTACAAAATAAATAATTTTAGTTAAAGAAATGTTTATATAATACAGATTCTAGAATTACAGTCTCTGTTATCAAAACATTAAAAAATATATTGCCTTGGTAAGATTATAGCTATACTACTAGGTATACTAGTCATATGTGTAGACGTTATTACATTACATACATATCCTAAAATTTTAGAATTGAAATAATAAATGCTTTCTTTTTCCTTTGGATTGCCTAATAAAATTTCCTTTGGATTTACAATCTAAAATGTTCGTGCAATATCAAAAATTTTATTTTATATATAAAAACAAACAAAGTGAGGTTAAAATATTACAGATTTGACAACCCCTGACCGACCAATAGAAATGCAGTATAAATTTATACTGGGTATATCTGCTAAACTTTGGAGGGATAAAGTTATTCTACAGATATACTCCGATTATCTTATTCCTAGTTTATTCTTTGTTTGTAGAACACCATTAATGAAGTTATTCCAAGTATAACTTTATTCTCAGTATATACTAGCATTGTAGAACTGGCCCTAAAACCAATAAACGATAACTTTAAGCAATGAGCTTAAAGTTATCGTTTGTGAGTTGAGCATAGTTGTAGTAGTTATAGTTGAACAGTGTTGATTGAAACAACAGAGCAGAAAAATGTTATTCATAAAGGTATAATATATTGCTGCTTATCTGGTCCGCTAGTAATAAAGTTACCAGCATTTAATTGCAAAGCGGTCTTCTTAGGTGGAAAATACTTTAAAAGCTTTCTGGGATAAACAATTTCAATTTTGCAATAACTGTTCAGTAAAATTTCTTGAAATTTTTATAGCTGAATACATGTGGTATTGTTCCTATTATCACGTGAAATTAAAGTTTTAAGTGCATTTTTAGAACTTTTAATAATTTTCAAAATCACGTCTTTGGAAGCTATTTTTCCAATAACTAAACAACCAATTAACAAAGATAACTTTACAAACACTTATTTTAAAGGATTTTCTGTTTTTTTTTCAGTAAAATTGTGTCACTTTTCCATATAATTTGCCAGTCTCCATCTTTAGTATTTAAAATGAAATAGTGATCTTACATTGTTTATAAGTAAAAATTTTAATCTTTGCATGATGCAAATAATGTAAATAATTTGCATTCAAATTGTTAAACCGAATACATGTGAGGTAGTTAATATTCCGAAATAAACAGTATCTTCTGTTTTTGTATTATTCCCATAAGAAATAAACATTGTTATTTCACAGATAAATAGCTTTTGAACTCAACTATTTGCTTTAATGGACTTTACATAATAGTTAGCACAGATGTATTAAGAGATTTGATGTCATTATCGCAAAACCACATTATTTACGTTCGTTATGAAAATGGTTTTGACACATATTCATAGGATGAGGTTAAGCAAAATTATCATGTACTGTTTAATAAGTATTCTATTTCCGCGATGGACACCCGCAAGTTAAAACGGAAGTCGATCATTACGATGTTATTAATTTAACCAATATGATTACTCACAAACGTTTTTTTCAAATATATTTACGTATATTTTTAAAAATGTTAGAAATAGATAAAAAAAATATGAAAAAACGAAGAAGGTATGTAGCCGAAGGAACAGACAATAGTAAATATAGACCAGAAACTCTTAGATACACTTTGGATATCAGCATATTTTCTTTATTAAATCTACTTGTTTATGAAAATAATTTATGAATTCAGTGAAGAAAGCCAATAAAGTTTGTTACATAGCTACGAAATGCTGGCCTGATTATAGACAATAAATCCTGAGTTAAGGTCTATTTGGTGAACTACGCTGGTTGATGCTCTGAACAAGGATTTAAAACAATGGTTTATATAGACAAATCTTAATTTCATAACGAAATTGGTGACACTCAACACAAACAATGTTAATTATTATCATCTAAATTATTTAAGGCATGGACTAAATAGAGCATTACATGAAGAAAAAAACAAATATGACTTGGGCCCGCACAAATGCAGAAAAAACAACAGTATTCGCAGTGCACCTTGAAACTGTATTCATAGCACCAGATACTAATAACTACGAAGATAATGATATAAGAATGTATCTTGAAACTCCATGTTAACTATCTCTTCCTCTGAAAACATTTACTCCAACAAATAAAAATGCTAAATCCTAAGAAAGCTCCTGGCTATGATTTGATAACAGTAGAATTACTTCAGAAGCTACCGAGAAAAGCAGTGGTGTTATTAACAATAATATACAACAGCATACTATGTCTTCGATACTTTCCAACCGAATGGAAATTTGCCTAAATTACTGAGATTCCGAAACCTGGTAAGCCCGCAACACAAGCAAATTCATATCGCATCGCACTATAAGCCTACTCCCAATAATGTCGAATATATTAGAAAATAAAATCCACAAGGAAAATAATTCCTGCAGCTGGCTGTATACCACATATCACAAAAAAGAGGTTAATCTTTGTAACTTGGTATATTAAAAAACCCTTAAAAGGGCTACATTAAAAACTTAGATATTATATTAGAATATATATTAGAATATTATATTAACTATATTAGAAAGGCTACTATCACATAAAATCGAGAGAGTTGTTCCCATAAATGAAATTATACCACAACACTAATTCGGATTTAGGCAAGAACACTCAACCATTCAACAATGCCACAGAATAGTAAATATAATTAAAACAACTCTCGAAGGGAAAGTTTTGCACTGGAATGTTTCTAGATATACAACAGGCATTTGAAAGATTATGGCATAAAGGTCTCCTCTACAAACTGAAATTACACCTAACAGATCAACTATATTTTATACTAAAATCCTATCTTACTGACCGTTACTTTTAAGTCAAAAATGAAGACAGCTACTCAAATTACATCATACAATCTGGCATACCTCAGAGTAGCATTTTATGCCCATTTTTGTATCTCATATTTACAGCAGAAATCTTGGCAGAGGATATCGACCCTAATGTAACATCACAAAAAGTACAAAATCATTTAGTCTAATTTACAAAACTGGCTTAAGCGATGGAAGATTAGTGTACAAACTGTACAAATCGGTAGAAGTTACTTTTACAGCAAGGAAATCTATATTGTCCATATGTTTATATTAATAATACTCCCATTCCTATAAAACCTGTTGTCAAATACTTGGGTTTCAATCTGGATGAAAAATTTAAAAGGATAACGCACATTAAAACTAAACCGAAACAACTAGATCTAGAAACTAAAAAGATATTAATCAGATTGGCTATTAATCAAAAGGTCTCAGTTATCTCTTGAAAATAAACTGCTTCAGTACAAAGTTATACTCATACCATACCAGTTTGGGCATATGGAATAGAACTATCGGACTTTAGTAAACCTTCAAATATGAAGATACTTCAAGCATTCCAATCCAAAATAATCTATATGATAAGTAAAGCTCCATGGTATGTATTTAACCAAACACTTCACAATGATCTAGACATCCCATTACTTAAGGACATAATAAAGAATCACTCAATGTAATATAAAAATCGCACAATCACAACAACGAACTGATAAATAATTTATTCACCCAACCACTTGCCGAAAGAAGATTGAAGGGAGTATGGCCAGAAGACCTACCACAATGATACTTAGAGAACTGACACTGGACAGTACCTAACTCAAGTTAATTTATGTATAGGCTATTTACTTATTACTCTGTGTATAGAGTAAATTGTAAACATGCAATGTAACAATAAATAAAAATTATTTATCAAAAAGAAAGGATATAAAAATGCCCACATCACATACACTCATACATTTAGGGCAGTTAAGGTAAAGTTGTTTTATTAGTGAAATAATATTTGTTTTTTTCCACTTAAATGTATTGTTTCGAATTGTTAAAAATTATATTGTTAATTTTGTGAATATGTGTTAAATGCTATTTTGATTTGGTACTTATTTGCTAGATTAAAAAATAATAAAAACTTACCTACAAATACAATATCCTCAAAATACTTGCTATCATAATGACAAGATAGTACTAAATACCTATCAGCATTTGGATTCAATGTGGCTATAATGTTCTTAAATGTCAAACGACCCATTGGAGTATCATCTTCAAATTCATCAACCTCTATGGCCCAGTTCAGGTTTTTAAGTTCTTTGTTTATATATTCAAAAACTTTCTTATGCCCTGATGTACCAACAACACGAGGTATTAAAATATTATCTAGTACTTCATTAGTGTATTTAACATTTGATAGTTTTGATAAATACCTCATGGCATTTTCAGAAAGCTGAGTAGATTGGTGGCTCATCTGTAACAGTAATTACAAATAAAAAGTTTTATTTACTGTTATTTTGTTTTTAATAAATGAAAAAAAATAGTGGTCTCTCTAACAAAGAGACCAATTTTGCCATAAAAGACATTTAACTATTAAAATTGATGCCTGGTTGCACCAATAGATCTTAAGCTCCAGCTTAGCCCAGCTCTGCTTATAGCTAGGGCTGCCTAAACTTTCACTTACGTTGCACCATAATTTTCGATTCTAAAATATTCTTTATATTCTTAAAAACAAAAATACAAAATTTGGTTGATTGCCGTCGGATAGTTGGTAGTGGTCGGTCGCTCAGTCTGAGCTGAGGCCTACCTAAGGCACGTCTTAAGCATAAGATATGTTGGTGCAACCCGGCATTAATGACTAAAATTTATTGGGAAATGATTAGTTTAGGGCATCCATGATAAACAAACTTATATCTGACATTTAAGCTTAAATGGTATTTATTTGTAAAGACATATACGTAATGACATGATGAGTTCATTAATGATGGTTAGGTTATATATTTTCCCCTGATCTTACATTATTGTATTATGTTAATGTTAAACCAATGAATAGAGGCTACAGTCCCCTTAGACACAAGGTACTCCTAAAAATGAAAACCCAAATTAAACAGCTATTACAGAGAACTGTTAACAAAACAGTGAACGAGTGAGCTTAAGCATTTTCAAGTGCAAATGCAACAATACGAGATATAATAATGTAGTGTTTTCTTATCTGAGTTTAAATCAAATCTTGAATTTTTAACCAAAACTTTTAATCCAATTTTGTACATGTGTGGTGAGTCTGGTTTGATAATTAATAGTAATATTAACATAACTAATTATCTTAATTATATGTACTTACTTGAATTTTTTTCAACTGATTGCAGTTTCCTTCAAAAAAAACTGTTGCCACAATCAGGGACTTTAATATTGTGGATATCATAATCTTAAAAATAAAAGTTTTCCTCTAAAACAAATAAACACTTTACCTACTGAAGTCTAATTACAACTAAAAGCTGAAAAGTAAAAAATTATTGTAAACGGTAATCCCTAGCCCCACCAGTACCTAAAAACCCCCATCTCAGGAACTAGGTATACTATTTGAATTGAATATTCTGAAACAACATGTCAAAACAAAACATAACACATAACATTATTCAAAACGTCAGTTGTTGAGTCATATGTCAAAAGTACGTCATTATACGTCATTGGCAACCTTGCAAAAGTTGGATGTGTATAATCAACCGAGAATGAGTGAAAGTGTAATATTTGTTGTCTATTTCCAAGACAAAGAATAGAAAGTTGATAACTTTTAGCAGATAAATTAATGTAATTACATGATAACCTTGTTCTTATACGAATTGATGTAACAAAAAATATATATGTAGATTCTACTAGGAGTATTACTTTGTGAAATATTTGTAATATAAAATTAAGATGGGGAGAATTTCAGGGAAAGGTATACACCATTGAATTTTATATTATTCTTTGGTTTCATAATGACGTCAGAACTTAGGTATAGATATAATCGATACTCCTAAAAATGTATGTATAAGTATTATCAAACTTTTGAAAATAATATTTAGTTCAATAAAAGCTTGGGAAAGGAGAAAATACTCGTACTCATCCAAAACTAACGATGGTAGAAGAACTAAACCCATCGATAGGCAGATACTAAAGGAATAAATCAGAGCAATGGAACAATATCCCAACTGTGAAGAAGGATAACAAAAATCAAAGAGCTGGCCAGAAGCTGTTGCCTACAAGGTAAAAGAATAAGCAGACGTCCATATTAGTGGACAGAAAATATAGAGGGGATTAAAAGAGGATACATTGAATTGAGAAGAACAGTCACTAGAGACAAAAAAAGAACCACCCGGTGGAGGAAGAGTCAATGTGGAAAAAACTCACAAAGGAAATGAAAAATGTAATGAAAAGGTGCTAGAAAGAAATGTGCGATAAGCACGAGAATGACACCTGGGATGATGCTTACAAGATAGTTAGTTACCAAAAATCTTAAAGTAAGTAATATCTTTAAAATCGAAGAAAGCCACAGAAGAGGGCTGACAAAAGAGATATTCGCACAGACAAGAGAGATAAAGAAATTCACACCATTACATGTAGAAACGTCAGCAACAGACTTCTCTACAGAGGAGCTGATGGAGGTGGGAAAAGCACTAAAGGCCGGGAGAACATTCGAACTTGACAGAGTTCAGATGATCAGAGATAAAAAGCAAAAATTCTCAGAACCATGGAAAACGCAAAATTCTTACTTATTCCCAAACACGGGAAAGAATTTGAGGAACTAAGAGCTTTTAGATCGATCTGCCTATTAAGCACAATGGGCAAAATCTTCGAAATACTTATTGGTAATAATTATGCCAAATATAGGAGACCCAGGTAAGGGGAAAAGAAGGATTCTGATAGAAGTGGTACACTCCACAATTCTATATGCGGCGCCCGTGTGGCATTAAATAATGAACAAACAAAAGTACAAACAAATATTACAGAAGGCCCAAAGAAAAGCCCTATTAAGGGTCGTATGCGCCTATAGAATAACCTCGACGGTAGCTCTACAATTTATAGCTGGAGTACGAATATAAAAGCATGAACTACTCCTTCACGCAATTCTATATGGAACACGCGTCATTTAGAGCATGCCTTAAGAGGACAGGTAAGACAATAGATAATAACTGCGGAATAAACGACACAGCAGATTACTGTGTGTTCGAATGCAGTAAGTTCAATGATGAAAGAGCGAAGCTATGAACAAGAGTAGGCATCTCAGGATCACACTAATTTATGACCGAAATAGGAAATCAGTTTTAAGAGATTTTAGAAAGATAGGGACAACAGGGGTTAACATAAGCAACAGAGAGAAAAAGGATAGAGAAAGGACGGCAGAGTACCATGGGGGCAGGAACCTCCAAAAGAGAATTGTGTTCGTATGTACTCCTTATACTTTGAATCCAACTAATGCCAGGCCAGGTACGATTCACCTAGCACGGTATTTAGAAAATTTTCACTCTCAAGAAAAAAAGCTAACATAATAATTTGATTTTTTATTCAAATCTTACAAGCGTCACTTCTGTCGGGTGTTCCACACATAGCCTAAAGTTCTATTTATTGACAAGCTCATAAATATTATACAAAATGATAGGTGTAACATTCACTTCCAAATATTAGCAAAAATATTTGGCAAGAGGGAATTTCTAAACGTCATATTTTATAACCTCAATAAATTAATACAAACACAAACATACAAATAAAGATATTATAAGTGATTATTTGCAAAAATATATGTAATAAGCCTCGCTAATTAACTATTTTAAAAATATTATATAATATGGATTCAGAATACGTTGATAATGATTTATTAGATAAGTATATGACCATATCTAATAAGTTAAAAAAGTAATAATGTAATACCATTATAAAAATATCAATTACATGATTCATTTATTTCAGACGATTTCTTAAAAAACCCAATGTAGCAGAAGCCTGTGAATCTTTCAGTAGTTTAGCTAAACAGTGTGAATCTCTAGAACTACCTGTTTATGCAGGTCTATGTTGGATTGCTGCTGCTAGGTGTGAAGGCTCATTATTAAACAATACTGGAGAAACATCCTGCCTAATACACTCTGCTAGACAGTTGATGAAAGCTGAAGAAATAGACAGGGAAATATGCTGTGAGACAGTTTATGGTGAATATTTACAAGTAAGACACACAAGTGTACAAGTAATTTGATATTAGAATAATTGTGTTTTATTTTTAGGCAGGATTGAGTTCTTGTGCTCATGCAGCAAGTAGATTAAGTAAAAACTGCATACTTCCTCTTTGTTTAGATTTAGAAATTATTGATTTTTTGAAAAGAATTAATAAACCAGAATATATTGAGAGCTTTGCAGAAGATGCTGTTGAGCTAAGTGTTGAACACTGTGGATCTAGAATTTATGCTTTAGAACTTATGGCTTCACATTTTATAAAAACTGGTGAGGGTTTTATAATAAGTGCATGTAAATATATTTGGTAGGCATTGGTATATGTAATTTTCAGCATACAAAGATTTAAAATACACATGGTTATTAATAAAAATTACATCCCCAGAACACCAAAAAAGCACAGTGAAAAGACAAAAAATTAAATGAATATGAAAGGAGAAAACTTTTTTTTCTTATTCTGATATTCTAGTTATAAATATTTATATTCACATCTAGTCAAATTGTTTGTTAAAGAAGCTTTTAAATCAGTGGCGGCTGGTGTGATAAAATTTTGGGTAGGCCAAGCCAGCAAATTACATATAGCTAAGTGTAATCAGTGGCGGATCCATAGGGAGGGGTTACGTGGTCATGGCGTCATGAGCCCCCCTTAAAAATATTTGAAAGCCCACTTATACCTTTAAAATATATATTTTTTCTGCTAGTGGTCATTTAGTTCTGGAGTTGATTTTAATATTAAGTCCCAAATTCCTTTAAAATTTCCAGGATTTAGGGAATCATCGGATTCGTTGTGGCCACGGAAAGCCAGTTCATGTTTCGCTAAAGTACAAGTTAAAGAAACTAATTTTTTAATGATTTCTCTGTTCATTTTAACTTCTGCGTTGTATCTAAGTTTTGCGATTTTTTATTTTTCATCTAGCAAATCGCGAACAGAAAATGCCGTCTTCTGTACATCCTTAAAGGACAGGAAATTACTTAAATGTTTCTTGCAACTGTAATGTTTTTTTTAAGGAGACAGACATATTTTTTAAATCAAGGTATCCTTCCCAATTCCATACACATTCCTTATTAGAAAATAAACAACACAGCCAACAATATAGTGTGTTTTTTGTCATACTTCCAGACAAGCATTTATAGACATCATACCAAGAACAATTAAAAGTATGCACCTTTTTCCCATCTTTTTGATCAATACGCAATGTTGGAGTAGGCCTTTCATTCATAATAATTTTTTTTTTCTATCAATTTCAGTTCTTCTTGATAATGGCGATTCAAATAGTGAAACAACAATGTCCAAACACTCACTATCAACATTACTATTACTGCAACCTGGTAAAGCGTCAGAAAAACTCATTTTTATCTACCAGTTATAAAACGATCTCACTATTCCAAGAAGAATTTAAAAAAAAATCAACCTCGATCGGCCAAACAACTAGTGCAACTAGTAATAACAGATAACAGTGAAAATTGAACTAATGCTCGGCAATAGTGTTGCCATATATAAGTTGCATACAATCAGGCAATATAGAAATCATGCAAATGAGATTTTTTTTAGAATTTTTAAGAGAATTAATTTAAAAGAAAATTTATATTACAATTCGATAATTACGTTACAAGTGACAACGATGGTCCGTGTAGGCCCGATCGTCTGGTGTCTAAACAGCAAGCATAAACACGACAATATAAATTGTTGTCCAGCCAGCTGCTTAACTTCAGACGCTTTTTGTATGGGGATCTTATGTGAGCTGGGTCGGCCAGTTCCGATCGGGCCTATTAATGATATTTAAAATGCCTGAATATGATTCGATGCTTTCTGTGGTAATATAATAACACAGTTGTTGTAACGGACGCTAATGTATTGAGTGATATAGTACATTTAAAAGTTATTTACATGCATTAACATAATTTTTTAATATTTGTTTTTCAATTGTAAAGTTCTTAAAATTATTGGGTAGGACCGGCCTATCCTGCCTACCCCCAAAAGCCGCCACTGTTTTAAATTTTCCTTAATAAGAATAAGATTGTTAGAGTCTATTCTAGGTATGTTAATTAATTTTATTTCACATAGACAAAATTTGTATAAATTGACAAAGACGAAGTAATAAAGCAATCTAATCTAAAATTATTTTTAGGTGATTATTTAGCAGCATTAGAGACTTTCTTTGAGATATCCAAATTATTAGAGAAATGCGTTCCTAATGGTTTCAGAAGTGAAATATTATTGAAATGTGAAATAAACAGTATATTCTTATTATTAATTCTCCGACCAAATCCTCAAAAATTAGCACCCCATCTCACAAGAATTTTGGAAAAGTACACATGGGGAGATACTAATGATGAAAGTCTTAAAGGTAATAATTCTGTAACAAGAAATTAAACTTCAGGTTCAATTTATTTATAATGTC